ACATTTTCTCGCGTTTGGCGTATATGTATAAAGTCTCTACTTCAAGTGTCTACCTGTACTCGTCACTCTACTTACTCGTACTTTTCAGTATGAAATAAAGACCTTAGATCATCTTTGCAAAAACATTTGACTTGATATGTGCCTTGGATATCGCCAGCATCAAATAAGGCATAGCTTTCCATTTAGGGGTTGATATATTTTTTACAGAATGGTTACATTATTATAAGAACACACGCAAATGTTCAACATGCGGAGTCACGTAGTTTTTGAGTAAAAAATTATTGAATAACAATTTTTTTTGCAGTATTTATGTCAATCCGTACCTTTGATTATATTAAACACAGAGCTATTAAAATTATTAATTGGTATTTAATTTGTTTTATTTTAACAGTACCCATTAGGGCAGATAGCAAATGAAATAGGTTAGGTTCAACTTACGACTCGACTTGGTACGAGTTTGTCCTACCCCTAGAGTGTTATAGAGCCGGAGGAGCATAGGGAAAGCAACCTCCGCCCGCTGTTACAAATCCGGTTTTATTATGATCTTCGCCTCCGCAGCTTCGGCTTGCAGCAGCAGTCGTAGAGGCTGCTCTTTCCGCAGCAGTAAAGCCGTTGCAGTTTCAAAATAGGTACAGAAATCCCTCAGAAACAGTCTCCCTATTTTTTTCCCTCCCTTCCGTTGGGGGAACAACTCTTCCCCTCCAAGGCGTCCACCCTTGTTTTTTACACTTATTATTAATTTTAATCCAGAAAATGAAGAAAATCTCCTTAGAATTAAAATTCCTCTCCCCTTGCACCCCACCCCCTCAATTCAATTCGACGGACGTCAATGGAAAGTCCTACCACACTAATATGACGTGGTATGGCTCAAAGTTGCACTGCGTTTGGCAGCTTTAACCCTTTAAAGCTTTATTTTGTTTGTTTTAATTTGTTCATTTTTCGTTGAATTTGAATTGTATAGTTTTTTTTGTGTAAGTATGATTATGTGAGTATAGTGTAGGCTTGTAATGTTAATTCATATTTTAGTATCTTTCTGGTGGTTTTGAGTGTTTTCACGGCCTACCCAAATGTCCTGCTGGCGGTAGTGTCATGCTTCGGGTCAGGGTCAGAATAGCTGGAGCCTGTATGTCGTCTGTATGGACAGGCTGACTCAAAACTATGGTCCTTTCCTCAAAAGACCTACCCAGACCCTATACTGTACAGTTTTATTTAACTTTGTTTACGGACTTAAAAAAAAATACACTTCTTCCCAGAGTGAGTCTTAGGAAATGCCGGCTCCTTCTAGCTATAAAGTCCGATTTGTAAATATATCTGAAGAGATTTACTTACAGAAATAAATATCATTTATCATTTATAACTAGATGAACTTTTTTACCGTCGGTAAAAGAAATGACAACGGTTTTGGACCACTAAATTGCAACCCTGGTTTACATTTCATTACATTTCAATAACTTTTATAGTTTGGGCAACACGAAATCTGATATTTTTAAAATATATGTTAATGTTGTAAATTAATAAAGCAAAGAATATCTAATATTTTGTTTGGAGTTCGTAGATCGATTCAGTCAGTCAGATTTTTTACCAGAGCCATACTTCAGAGCACAAAAGGCGGTAGCGCAGTTGTCCTTGTAGATGTTGCTTCTTGTAACTTATTAAAATGAGTCATTCAGCGGGGAAAAACTAGTCCATCCCTCGGCATACACACAGCTGGGTAAAACCATTTATCTGAAATACACTTTGTGGTGTTTGATAAATTCGTTTAAAGGTGCACAATAATTTTTCACAAATGAATTATGATGTTTAGTGTTTATTGGTCATTTATCGGACATCGCACCCTAGGAGCCCGGCCCCACCGGGAACATAACTCTAGATACGCTAATTTCAGTAATGTATTAAGTCATTATTCGATTTTAAGAAAATCTAATTGTTTGTGACAATCCTGCCCTCTTGAGGCATCATAAAAACGGAATGATAGCAGCGCCTCTAACTGTGAATAATGTAACTATTCTACGATGTATTCAACAATGTTTTTTGAGAATTTCATATCATCTAACGTGGTTTATACGTTGACAATAACGTAATGTGATCGATAATTTCTTGAAATATAAAGTGATCATTATGTGATCAAATTTAAGATCTGATGTATTTTACATCTATCAGTTGGATGATAGTTTTGAGTTGAAAATTAAGAAATAAAGAATAGTTTAAAAGAATAATCATGGCAGAATCAAGGCTTAATTCTGCTCTTTTAAGTTAATTGTCACCGCTTAAACCACTACGCCAACCGTGAAGTCTAATTAATTTAGGCTTAAAAAAACACTACCTATAAGGCACTTATTAGAAAAATGTAACTGAAGAATCGTAACTGTTTCTTATAAGATAAGGATTAAATAAAAGATACATAGTAAAATAATCTGTTTTTATTTGACGTAACATCCTTTAACTATGTCCAAGCGATATTGGCGTAAACATATACATATAATACCTACACAACAATATAATTATTTTACTCTATCATCCAAATACAAAACCTTTGGTTATTAGCTTATTAGAAAATTTACATTACAATTGGTGTTTCTACCTTTGAGTATTTATTTCTATCTTATCTGCTGAAAAAATAATAAGGTGATCGGTGATAGCCATTTATTTGTAACACTCTGTTATATTAGATTGTAAATTAAATTGTAAACCTGGTAATTTAATTCATTTAAATAGTTTTCATCATCCAGTTAATTTTAATTCAAGAAATTCAATTAACGTTTGTTAATTCAAATTTGAAAATTAAGCCACATTCCTTGTCTATGGTCAGAATAAAAAAAAGATTTTCAATTGTCATGTCAAAAATGTTCCAGGTGTCAGACACACTAACTACAACTGAAGATAAAATTATTTATTTGTTATTAAATATAAACGACTTTAAATAAATATGCAAGAGCTATCTTTTGACGAGGTTTAGATGTGATGTTACAGGTCGGTATGAAAAAAATTAAATTCGGAAAACCTGGAAAGAAGAGGAAATTATATAACAGGTACGGATATAACAGGAGCTGATATAACGGTTACCAATATGATAGTTATCAAAAATCGAAAAATGTTGACAAGTGTGTTGTTCGACAAGGTTATTTGACTGAAAGCAAAGCTTTACCGAAGTCCATTAAAACGGTAAGGACTAGACTGTCACGTTTAGCAAGCATTTATTTATACTTAAAAAGTTAATACAACAAAATTAAACTAGGATACAACAACTTAATGATTATCACATTATATAGAAAATCATCCAGGATGAATATTTACATGGCTTAAGGCACAAATTATATATTATGGCTTTAAGCCTCTATAATGTATGGATATTAAACATGCGATGGGAAGGCCAGAGTAACTTCTTTAAATTTACCTGATGTATCTTTGATTAATTTTTGTTGAAAAAAGAAATTATATACCAAAATATTCGCCAGTCTTGATTTGATAAGGACATTGTTCAGGTATTACTGCTAAAAGCTAGATTCCAGCTAGCTATAAAGCTACTGATGGTTTGTGGAACTCATTGACTCGTTCATCAAATGGATCTAACTTAGAATAAATACTTAAAAGACACAAAAATAATACCTTATCATAATTTTAATATGTTTTAACTTTCAAAGTGGACTGACGTGATGTGTTCATAACTATAGCAGTATATATAACAGTTTTAAAGATCAAATTAGATTAGCGGTAAATAGTTTATTAATGAATGCTCCCGAGTGTCCCGTTCCTAGCTTTTCTTTTCCCATTGTTTGTTTCCAGTACCGGGACTCAAGTAGGTACTCCTATTTGGTCCCAAAACTAATGCCGTTGATAAAGATTTAAATCTAATTTCTACATCACACTGAAATATATCTTTGTATTTTACTAAAATCCATATAAGTAAGTGATCTATGACTGTTAGGACTTCTAATCACGAATGAATCTCAATCAGGTTTCCAGTCATAGTTCGCTTCGGTATTACATGTCGTGCAAAGTGGGCACAAATATATACAAATAGATACTACATTTTAGTTTTATTATTCCTAATATAATATTATATGAATATATTATTTATATCTAGCCTCGGACAGTCTTTCCGTACTATATTGCTTCACAATCACAACTCTCATTCAGTACTGAATTGCGGTTATATTTAAAAACTTAACTTTTTTGTTTTAATATTATTCTTGACTGTCAGTGACTTTCGCCCTTATAAAATTACGTATCTGAAATCATATATAATCTTAATTCAATAATATTTTTCATGAGTGTAGGCATACCTAGATGACCGAGCTTTGCTCGGTATTTTTGTTAGGTAATTTTTTTTTAAATGAAACCTAGCTAGATCGATTAATTGCTCCCGAAACCCCCTGCATACCAAATTTCATGAAAATCGTTGGAGCCATTTCCGAGACTCAGATAATATATACGTATATATACAAGAATTGCTCGTTTAAAGGTATTAGACATGGCTTGGTGGACACCTAAGTCATTGTTAAATACATTATAACATTTAAAATGTATTGGCTGTTTATAAATTCACTGACAGTCAGACTATTTTTTAAATAAATGTTGCGAGTTACAGAGATCAGACTAAATATCTCAACGCTTCTCTTCGGTATCATAACATCGTCTATATATACAAAATAGAACATTTTCTACAATATATAGTATAGCACACATTTCGTACACTTCTATAACAAACTAGCGAGCTTCCTTTTACAATAAAATGACCCTTTGGAATGATTGGTTACTGTAGAATATAAACTTCACTTAAACATTTTAACAATAAGTATCTATTTTGATTTGATAATATTCTAGTACTTAATCCATGTCACCAGCTAAGGTTTATTTTGGTTTAGTAAAATACTTTTATCAATTTCCTTATTTCGCGGACTGTAGGTACATTGCAGTACATTTATAACTGAATTTTTTGTCATTTTTATAACAATAACCAATATAAGAGCTCATACGACCCGTAGCTTGTTTCTTTAAAGTCACGCTTTTTTCTTTCCTTTACCATTATCTGCGAATATTTCATTGAAGTCTGTGAGGAGTATTTCAACAACGTTGTTTTGTTGTATGCAGTCGACTGCAATATTATGTGCTTGTTCAGCTGGTGCCCATAGAAGTGTTGGACCAAAAACGATTGCTAAGTTTGCAATATGCATTCTGTTTCGGTCGCTGTATGTTGTTACTCTAAAACAAAATAACATTTTCTAGATGCAATAACTTATAAAACTCGTTAATTACAGTTCTAAATTGATATATTTATGCAATCTCTTTTGTACAGTTATCACATTTTTACAGCAAGTTATCAGGGATTCAATAGCGCCCATGATTTTAACCTATATGCTTCAATTTATTCAATCAGAGTTTACTTAGATAGTCCCTTACTCCCCATCCCCAGATTTTATGCTGTGTAACTTTACAATATTTACTTAAAGTTACTTATACTCATCAGAAGTATAATTTGTAATAATAATAATACTTACTTGAGCAAGTGTTCCAATACGTATTTAAGTGTATCTCTGTTGCATTGTGGTAGCGCTTGAATTATGTTTTGGAACTCTTTGGTCCTTGCCTCTTTAGGCTTTATTGCTGTAATAACAATAATACATTGATATTATTATTCTATATCTATAAATTTTCCGCTATTAATATCGTGATGAAGATAAAATAATACACAGACCAAGATATTACGATATCGCGTTACTAAAATAAATATAACACGGAAAATTAGTTCATAACAATTGATTGCATCACCCATGATTTAATGAAATAATGCGTTGTCAACGTTTCATAAGTATTGTTTAAATCGGTAACCAGATAATGGCTATCATATTAGTTATAATGCTATAACATCCTCACATCATCTATAAACAATCTCCTACCTACCCTGGACCCTGAGCTTCCTACCTAGTCAGGAAGAAGTTTGAGCACTACCTCCGTTAAAAACTCACTGCTAGACTGGTTAGTGACATGAACATTTTATGTTGGATGATCAAATTTGCTGGATACAGGTAAAAAACACTATTTAGTTTCTAATAGCTTTTATCCTCGTGCTCTTTAAACTAGGGTTGGTCTGTATTACTGTAGGATTATGTATAACAATAGATGGAGTAAGCGCTGAAGAGCAGCATTTGGTTTGCAGATAGTCAATTTCAATACTTCAGAAAGTTCGATAGCAAAAACTCAAAAAGGGCATCGCTTTCTCTAGAAATTAATAAAATTTATAAGACCATTTCTTTAGTATTTAGACATTGCAAAAATGTAATTGTTAAAGAATACTTACAGCAAGCGGCAAGGATCCTGTCGAACACGGAGCAGGGTATGAGAGGTTCTTTCAGTTCGCGGAAGAACAGCTTCAACGAGCCCGTCAACACATGGATGTCTGGGTTGTTTGCTATGACTGTCATCTTATTTTGGTCCACCTTTAATTATACAGTATGATATTTATAACACATGACTGAATCAATTCGTTCATTGATTTTTCTTATTTATACCGATGCTGTATTTATTTTTAACCATTAACCAACCCGTTTAATCAAAAGCACTTTTGACCGGTTAAGATTTTTGGCTGTAACATATGTTCTAAACTAGAATTTACCCGCGGCTCCGCCCGCGTGTTTTCTGTTATTGCCTTAATGAATAGTCTATGTCTTTCCTCAAAAATCCAACTGTGTCCATACCAAATTTTATCTAAATCGGTTATTGATTTTCCAAACAAACTTCCACCCCCTTTTCATCCCCTTAATGGACGACTTCTGGGATTAAAACTACTCGTATCCAATGTCCATTGCCTGGACTTGAACTATCTCTATACCAAATTTCATCTAAATTGGTTCAGCGGTTTAAGCATGAAGAGGTAACAGACAGACAGACAGATAAACATACAGACATTCCTATTAGTTTGGATTGTTCACTTTAAATGTTTAGTTGGTACCTGTTTTTATTAGAGCATCTATCGTCCTATTTATGCAATTATTTACTTCAAACGACTCACCTCCAGCCGAATTTTTTGCACTTGGCTAAGATTACCGCTGGCTCGGTATAATCCATCAGTAGACATATTTTCTGGACTGCGCTCGATCTCTTTGATGCACGTCACTACGAACTCCGGCACACGAGGAGTGTTGGGTGCTGGTGGTGGGCATACTTCCTCCAGATTTCTTCCGAACACTGGCTCATCTGCAAAATTATGAAAGTGAAGATGCTTGTGGTATTCTTAAAAATGATATTATTAATACTAGAGAAGTAACTGATTAAGGATTGGCCGTTTACGCTATATATATGCTTTACGTCAGATATAGTACTGTGGTTCTACATATTGCTTTTACTGCTAGGAGCATTTAAAAAAAATGTAGCTATTCCCAACCATTACACCTTCATTGCAAAAAAATTATGTTATTAATGACAGCTATTTATTGAATGAAGCCAATGTCATAGCCAGTAACTGAATACGAGAGGGATTATGAGGAATGGGAGATGAATATCGTTTTATTAGATCAGCTCACCATCTCAATGGATTTATTATTATATTACTTAGTGTTTTACACAATGTTTCTATCCGGTCTAATTTTATTTTAACGCTCACCCGTAGGTAACAAATTAGAAAACTATGGTTCTGATGTGAAACCCACCCTATATAATAAAATATCTACTAATTATAAAGACTGTATAAATATAAACATATTGTATGACTGTAGAGTGCAGTAAATAATAAAAAAAACATTACAAACATGAAACACTTAAATTCCTGTTTTTGTATAACATAAAAAATAATTTTAAAAGAGATACACATGACTAAAACTTGCCTGTGTCGAATTTTGCCTTACACAAAATACTTATGTAATTTTTCATAAAATAAAAAAAAAATCTGAAGTAAAGGAACAACTGATAGGACTAACCCATAAGAAATCCTACCATCAAATAATTAGAGTGAGAAACAATATCTAAAATGTAAGCAGCTAATAATGCAGTCTACACACCAAACCCGCCGACCCGCCGACACAACCCGGCAATCTTGATTTCAAAAGAATCATGTCGGCGACTTGTACCCGTGCGTGTCGCCCGGCGACTTGTGACTCCATGTCGGCGGTATGTCTGCGACTTGCGTACGCGCTCATTTGTCGCCGACACTCAAGCTATTAGTGACGCGTTAGTGTTTTTTTTTTGCAATTTTGTTTTTTTTTTGTGTTGCAATAATGGAAAGGGAGAAGAAATCGCTCTACCAAGACAAAGAAAGCTACACGCGGCAGTCACTAACTACAAAAAAATATACTGATTTCGTGCCGCCGACGAAGTTTTTCTACTTGAACCAGATGTGAAGTCGCCGAGAAAAAAGTCGACGACTGCTTTAGTGAGACGAGGTTTTCTGTTTATTTTTACGTCAGAGTGTAGGTTGTATTTATTGACAAATGAGTTTTATTAATCTCTATATATATAAAAATGAATTGCTGTTCGTTAGTCTCGCTAAAACTCAAGAACGGCTAGACCGATTTGGCTAATTTTGGTCTTGAATTATATGTGGAAGTCCAGAGAAGGTTTAAAAGGTGAATAAATATGAAAATGCTAGATTTTTTTTTTATTCCGAGCATTTTTTAATTGTTTTCATAAAAAAAAGGATTCCTTTTGTTTGTTTATTTTATACAAAAGTTTAGGTATTTTATTTATCAATTGAGGCAGTACGAAGTCTGCCGGGTCAGCTAGTATTTTATAATTAGAATTTATGCAGGTTGTATTTTTCTCCAATTTTGTTTTCAAAATGTATCGTGATTAACCTAGCCAATCATCTTTCATTTGGACATAAACTGAGGCATAAGATTTTGACAGCAGCTTTTACGACAGCAACGAACCCCTTATTCGTGAAGAGCAAAAGCAGCAGTGAAAAAAGCAGGTGAGTTTATAAATTATATTTTTTTACAATAATCGTGTTGAAATTATTTAAATTATAAAATTACTCCTATATAATTTTGCAGTAAGTACCACTGTGGGAACAATAAACAAAAAGCTTTTTACAAAGATTGCTGTAGAGGCTGTGCTACCGATATTCTTCTAGCACCTACTACTTGTTTAGATTATTTTTCGATGCTTATACGAGAGACGCATAACGAAAAAAGTAAGGTAAAGATTGATTTACAAAAAAAATTGACCTCCTTCGCACCTTTTTAGTAGAGGTAATTAAAAAATATTTTGAAAATTTTAAGGTGATTTGACAAACACTGTATGTTTAAGTATTTGAATTCAATTTTTAAGGGATTTCCCTTAAGGGAACGTTAATGATTTTTAAAGTTTCCACTCTCATTTTTCACTAACTTTTTAAGCAATATGTTGAGTGGTATTGAATTAAAATGTAATACATATTACGTAAAAATAATAATGTTTGCTAATCCTGGAAAGTTTATTAGACATAAATGTAGGTATAAAAATAAAACACCAATACTATTTACAAGCAAATTATTATAATATACATGTGTGAGAAAACTAATTTACAAGAATATATACTTGTTATGCAAACTCCAAAAGCACTTACCTCAACCTGTGTTCGTCACAATAAAAAGCACCTGCATTAATAAGCATAAAATTCAGAAAGCAATTTTGACTTACAATAGCAAACGAAAATTATTCCACACTAAATATATTCATTTTTTTCAACTCGTTGACGCTTTTTTCGATCATATCCATGTTTATCTGATACATCTTGTATCAACAGGTCATTATGTTCTTAGTTTTAGTAGTAAGATCACAATACAGTGCAATAACTAAAACTTGCTTTTCAAAATCGTGAGTTTAACACCAATCGACTCACCAAACCAACTAAAAAACTACACTAAACTACATCTAAGTTCAATTCTACTCCGCTATTGTGCTACACACACCATCAAAGATCAAATTCCGAACCTTTGTAAATCCCTTTATTGATTAGTTGCTCCTTGGCTGGCCTTTTTGCGAAGAACTTCCTTAACCTACTCCTCACATGGGATTTCTGTATAGCATCAGTAGAATCACTCAGATCTTCATTGCTGCTGTCTGCTGCTGAAAATTTATGACATTAATAGAATACGAGAGATAGAGGAGCAAAGAAGGAATAGAAATATTCAAGCGGAAAAGGAAAGATTGCTTTTCTACGGTATGCTCGTAGCATTAATTTAATTAGTAGGTATTATAACATTTTTAACGGATTGTTTCTTCAAAAATATTAGTCATATGTCTGTTTACACATAATATGTAAACATTGGTTGTTGAGCATACCGCACATCAACAATTAAGTCCTTGGCAATATTTTCAATTAGTTTTCTTTTTCTTAAAATAAGTAAAACATTGCCAATTTTGGTATAATTACATTAACCAAAGGCTAGGCCATAGAACCTGGCAGTAAAATATTTTCAACCAGTTAACATTCACCTTGAAATGAAAAATAGACGCAAATAGTTTGTTGTTAGAAATAAAACTCAATGATTTTAAATTGGAAATACGTTCAAATTTTAAATAATCTCCAAGGTGACGTCTATTCATCGTTTCATCGTCAATGTTGTGGAAAGTACGTTCTGATAGTATCCATGTACCATAGCAAGATAGTTTAAATCAAAGCCATAACCAGATAGGCGAAATACCTTTTGGAATTCGGGTTAGTAAACGATTTAAATGTTATTTGATACACACAAAGTATACTTGATAAAATATATGTCAATGTACCTACCTAAAATATTTTCAGATAAATGGTATAAAAAAATTGTATTGACTTCAGGTATAAAGGTAATAGAGTTTATATCTAAAAGATAGATGAGGTTTTGTTAGCTATATATATAGCCATACTTTATGTCTAGTACAGCAATAAGTTAAGAAAGACTAAATTAGAATGATGATGTTAAATTTTATGAACGAAAAATATGCCGCAATATAAATCGCATTGAATACAATGGTTATGAAGATTATTATAAATATTACTTTGATATTTGAAACATTGAAACAGGCATACAAGTTAAAGAAAAAGACAATTTGGACGTACACAAGTTTGATTTGATAAAAATATTATAGTGCAATTATTTACCTTTGCCGCCTGAATCCAGGTTTCACACCATACTACACTAAAGAAAAATTCGTCAATATTTTCATTGTAAATTTTGCGAATAGAATCATCATACATACGTATTATGCGAGAAGTAGATACAACAACGTCCGACAAAGATAAAGATAACCTATCAAACGTGTACAGATATGATAAAACTATATCTGTTGCTTTTAATTGGTCTGCGATTAGGCTGCGTGGATCCGTGTACTGTCATTAAGTTCCATAGATAAAGTTGGTACTTAATAGAATTTAAATCTGTATAGACTAAACCTAAACTACTATTATTAAGCTATATGTATAATCTAAGGTTGTTGGTTTTAGTTTCAAGTATTTATATCAGACTATAGCCATTATAAAACACTTTAAACGAAGCTTCGAAGTAACGTTTTACAATTCGCCTTAATATTTTTTAATCCCAGGTAAAAATTTAAAATTTATAGCCATTTAACATTAAAACACAAAAGAATGTCTATGTCTAAATAAAGATTACTAAGAGAATCACGTGTCGTTTGCACACTTGACAAAAATTAACGCACTCATATCAAAATACTGATTTATGCTGCTACCCGTCGTCCTGATTGTCTTAAAGTGACTTCTGACCACACCCGCTAAGTGTCACTGACTGCGCCATTGTTAGTACAAGTCTCATACACAATTAAATAAACAGCACAGATGACAATAGATCATCATGTGATGTCATAACACAATATCAACGAGGTAACAATGGTGCCTATGAGACCAGTATTCAAAATTCAAATTTTACTAGTGGATAAAATGGTCTGATAAGAAAACAAGATATTGATAAACTAGGAGACAATATAACAATAAGACTTAGACTTAATAATTTAATAATGTTTCTGAAGTATTATTACACGAATTTGACAAAATTTTACTGTATAATTCACAAAAAAATATTACGTTTATAACGTAAGTCATAAAGAGACCCGAATTTACTTCTTTTGGCTTTTTGTGTCTTCTCTGTCGGTCTTTTCTTTGGTTCCGTAGCCAGATTGCCGGTTATCCAATGATCCGACACAGCATCTATGATTTGGCATTCCATTCCAATTCACGTTTTTGCCTATATATGCACATTTATGTCAATATTCAAACACTAAGTCGTTATTCACTATTTATTGTTCTCGTAGCAGGTACTGTTCAGAAAACCCTTTCTGAAGTACATACACTTTGCAGGATATTATAAGTATTTATTTATATATTTATTTGTTAGGGATATTATTGCCTCAACGGTCTTGAACACTGTGTAGTTCGCGTATCAATGATTGGTTGTTATCAGTTATAAGAGATATCAATAATAAGTTAGTCTACGACCACTTGCGACTGTCCGTTGATATAAGCGCTTGAACTAAATGCAATAGAATTACTATCAGTAATTAAATGCGTAATAGGAAATAAATGGCATATCAGTAAATCTATTTCACGGGAGTACTTTTGATAAAATTTTACATCCCATGTACTTATTATAATTAAAAAGTCTTAAGTGTACCGCAAGGTACAAGGACTGCATTAACACGTAAAAGTAGGCGTCGCGTAGGCGTATACCCTTAGATTTGGTTTTTATATTGACAGTGGTTTCTAGCATATATAGTATAACATATACTTGAGAATTCTCCAAAAAAAAGAACCTTATTATATTGATTTTTTGTAGATGCCATTTGCAGTCAACTTAATTGCATCTCGACATTTCATAAGTCATATGTCAGTTCAGTATCAGTTTCGCCATGAAATATAGTTTTAATGCCATAGAAAGCTTAAGAATATTGTCTTTTGAATATCTTCAATTTTACTAAGCGAAACATGACATATTAAAAATATAGGCAAGAAGTGATCATGAGATTTCTTTAAAGTTTTTCTTTTATACAACCGCGTTTATAAATATAAACTTCAGTTAATTATCTAAGCAAGCAGGCGTTAAACCTCACTTACAAATATTCTAGGAATAAAATAGTGAAGCAAATTAAGTGGGAATACCGCGAGATAAAATTCGCGTAATTACTTTATTCATAGTTGCCGCTCATCCAAACAATTCTAATTATATCGAAATCAATTCATGACGGCACAAAGTAGTAACACGATCTATTTGCAAAACCACAAACTGAAATTTAGTTGTGCGGATTGAACTGTAATTTAATTATTCATTTGAGTTATCACCGCTGTATGTGGATCAAATTTTACTATTTAATTCAATCAACATATTTAACCAATTCAATTGTCCGTGTGGTGAGGATTAAGAATGAGAGAGTGTCACCCAAGCGTGTCGTAAAAGCCGACTGAAGGATCAAACTACGCAGAACAACAGCAATACAAAGAGAAGGAAAACTTGAAACAAATCCAATACCAACTCGTATGGCCACCGAAACCTCCTTTCTAAGGTGAGGCCTATGTCCAACAGTGAACTATTAAAGGCTGTTGATGATGTGATTTAATCAATTCGTTTATTTTTCAACTTGTTTTTAATTTCGAATTAAACTATATAGAAGATTATTTTTTAATCAAATTCAAGATCTATAAGGCTTTACATTTCTTGAAAAGTATATTAAACTCATCTGTTTTCATATTTTTTTAGGAATTAGCTCCGTGCTCTACGAGTATGAGTTTTCCATTCTACAACGTACAACTGACAATCCGTGAATAGTTCAGCATTCTTTTCGTTTACCCACATAAACAAAGCAGTCAGGAGGTTTCGGTAGCTTTATATTAGGCATATTTTACGCCAGAATGGTAGGAAACAGGCATACGTTTTAACTACTGATATTAATTATGCAATGGTAAGGCCACATCTATTAATTCTAACAAAAACTGTTTGAGAGGCATAGTTTTCGCGATTCATTCTTTCGGTGTTTGGAAATGTAATAAATTATAGTAAGGAACTAGCAGAGTTTTGCAGAATATTCTCAAGCACTCTAGTTAGAGCGACTATTTTTACACTGTGAAACGATTAAAATAACCTTAACGTTCGAGGGTTTAGATTTAGACAGCTCAGTGGCCACTCCTACCTCTTTCTTTATAAAAGCAATTTTGACCGGCTTGGCGGTTAATTAATTAAAAAGAATGACAAAGAAAAAGAAACTGTAACAAAAGAAAATACTTTGTACAACTTATTAAGTGTACAATAACTATAAACAAATTGACCGCAGATAATGTTACAATGATAATGTTTACAACTGACGTATTTGTGTATATAATGTCAGTTTTCCTATGTTTCCTATGTTAAAAATGATAATAAAAATCAAGTGTATGTAGAACAAGGAAGGTAATCAAACAGAGCATATTTCTAAATGTCTCTCACGAACTTCATACCGACGTAACATATATTGGGTGGAAAAAAGTTCACTTTTCGTTAGACTATCGACAAATTGTTAAAATTAAGAATATTTCATAATAATATAACATAGTGTCAGTGCTTCCTTTGAAAAGCATCCTTTAAAATTTATTATTTCGTGTCACTACCTTTTAATATAGTTTAATTTGTTATGAGATATGATGGAACTGACGTGTACAATTATTGTATTACGTCCTTTATGATTAGATATTCAATTAAACCAAATTATGTTGTGAAACACTTTAAACGTTTATTATTGCTAGTGTTCTTTTCTCACTCTTAGACATACATTTACAGATATAGTTAACACACTTTCACATCATCATCACATAGCCTTTAATAGTCTACTGCTGAACATAGGTTTCTCCTCAGAAGGTTTTGGCATATTATACCACGCTGGCCAGACGAGCGGGTATAGGGACTGTGTCAAGTTTGCCTTCTCCTTGCAGTCCTGTGTTGTCCTGCATAGTTTACTCCCTTAGTAGGCTCTTACGACAACAACGGGATGAATAGGGGTGGTAACACTCCGTATTCTTAATCCGTCCCCTCATGGACTAACATTACAACACACATTAGTCTAACACTACATTTTTACTTTAGATTGCAATTAAATAAGGCTTTTGG